TGAAAAGACTCACAAAGGTACAGCGGGCCGTCTTAGTCGCATCGGTATTGGCCTGAAGGGCGCATCTCATGCATTTCACGACACTCCAGCAGATATGACGGGGTCACATCATGGTCACATCAAACACACGCCACCTTGCAGAACACTGTCCGGCAGTGATTTCCAGCGATTTACAAGGAATGTCGCAGTTTGAGGCAACCTAGGAGTACCTCTATCTTTGGGAAAAAAAACCGGCATTGCAGCTCCCGCGCACGCACGCACGCACGCGCACGCACGCACGCACCCCCTGCACTGAGAAGACTCACAAAGGTACAGCGGGCCGCCTTAGTCGCATCGGTATTGGCCTGAAGGGCGCATCTCATGCATTTCACGACACTCCAGCAGATATGACGGGGTCACATCATGGTCACATCAAACACACGCCACCTTGCAGAACACTGTCCGGCAGTGATTTCCAGCGATTTACAAGGAACTGATGCGACCCTCTGCGCTTGCTTCCCCGCTGTGGTTGAAGATATCTGATCAACAGCGATACGACTAAAATACCCCGCTGTATCCTATATTCCAAGGTGGCCACACACACAGTAGCCACGGGGGCAACGATCATTCATATCGCAACAGACGCTCCTGGCTAGTTCCCCTCGAAAGTCGACATTAAATCAGCTGGCCAACTGTTGCATGAGATCTCTGAGATCAACTGAAGACAGCGAAGGCAAAAGAATGTAACAGAACGTGCAACACTGAGAAAGAACCTCAACTGCTTCACATAACAGGTCAATTTTTGCAACAGCGCAACATTCGTGCACTGATTGGCTGCAACTCGGAGTGTGCAAATCCGAACTGTACATAAGCATCAAGCAAGGTTCTTAAATCTGTCTCAATCAAGTCAGAAGGGTAAGTGTGCGCACAAATCAATGAGCATCTGCTTCGAAACCCTGACACAAGATGTGCTCTCGCCCCGGCTGAGTCGGGAAGCCGGAATTGGCACGCAGATTTTGGCTGAATAAATCTGATGGTTCGACAAGCGACATCAATGTAGAATCCCAGGAAGTGGTTGTCCTCGACAACTTCGATTTCAACAGGTTTTTGATAAAACCACTTGTCCCGCAGCGTGCGAATGGCAGGATCTCTTCGCAAATGTTCAGCAAAGATCACGAACCGATTGTCGACGTATCTGCAAAGAAAAAAGGAGAGTCGATTCGACCTGAGAAACAAAGAGAATTGCTGCTGCCAAGTGACTTCTTGCATCATAACAGTAATGCTGCTGATAATGGGCGAAATTTGGTTTCCAATGGTGGAACCTCTGATCTGAGCAAAGACCGTGCCGAGGGCCACAAACATGTTGGCCGAAAAGGACAACTGTACCACTTGGAGTAGTTGTTTGATACTCACACGTTTTTTGCTGATGTGGCCCTTGAAGACCTGTCCAGGAAATTGCTCCTCTCTAAAGTTGACGGAAACATATGTTCATGATCAGCACCGAACATGTGCATATATCTGCTCAGAACATCTTTCACGGCATCAAGAATGCGATCCTGAGGGATACTGGTGAAGAAACCCACCAAATCATCATTGATGTAACTGAATTTCTGCTCCAAAGGCGCATCGTCAAAAAATGTACGAATGAGACGAAACAGTGTCACCAGATTGCCTTCAATAGAATCTGGAAAAACAACTTTGATGATTCTAGCCAGAATCAGGGCAGCAGCACGCAATCCATTACCTATAGGCGTGTCACTGTAGGCAATGATGGGTCTGGCTGTTGTCCACCTCTTCTTCGTTTTAGGCAAAATGTATGCGTACGGCAATGGCTTCTTGAGTTCCCAAGCCCAAGGAAGTTCCTTGCGCAGATTGTCTGGAATCAGTGAACACACATGCTCAGTTGCTTCAGGAATGGAGAGGTCTACAACTTTGTACACTTTCTCATCAAAAAAAGTGTCGTGCGTCATACGCCAGAACATATGTGGACAGTAAATCATGGCATGATCAGGCTCATGATCTTGCCCAAAGACAACGAGATCTTGTAAAGTCTGTTTGAGATACTGCAAGTCCTGAAAGGACGGCGTGCTGGATCTGCTCAAAGCTTCCAAATGCAATGGCCAATGCTCATCCAGCAGCTCGTCACAATGCTCAACAGGGTGAAACGGTAATTTGTTTCGAGAAGCCCACGTGACAATTGCATCACGAAACTGCTTGACAAACCATCGTCTGGCCGGCCACACTTGCGAAGAAGCAGAATATCGCAGAGCGTGCTGCAGATTGTGATGGACAGCAACTAGATGTGCTGAAGAGGCAATGTGGCCATCCACTGTTGTAACATCTGCAAATAGTCTTGTCCGAGTCAACTCATGACAATTGCAAGTTGGGGGGGTGTGGGGGGAAACAGACCACGCAGAGATCCAAAGCTTGGTGTTGTACAGAACACTTTTTACGCACTGGAGAGAACTAGAGACGGCCTGCCTAGTGGGAACATGGAAAGGCAAAATGTGAGCTTTCTGCGATCGTAACCAATTCGACAGCCATTGCTTGACAGAAGTTGCCCAAGTGTCATGAGCAAGTGGAGGAAGAAGCAAACAGTGATTTATTCTTTGGCACCACTAGGTTGCGAAATCTGAAGATCCGATGTAGTTCTTTGCGAACAGCAGCACGATGAAACGGTTGCTCCAAATTGGCTGACAGCTTCAAAATTGCAAAGAGCTGTTCAGAGCTGAAACGGTAGGATCTTAGTAACTTCGCAGTCTCAAAAGATCTCAGGGTGTTCGAGGACAAGTCAATGATGACCTTCCATGCAGCACGGAGTTCACAAGAGGCATCCAATGTGGCCTTGATGGGTAGAAAACCCGGCTTTGCCAGTCTGCGTAGTTTCTTGTGAATACGAGTGCCAATCATCTGATGCCCATGTCGAACTGGTACTTTGCAACGTTTGACACCTGAAGGTCTTATCAAAAACTGCCGACTCAGTGGATAATTTAGATGTGGCTGCCATTTGGCAATGAGCAGCAGCTCAAGCTCCCTGACTTCTTCAGCTGAGCTCCCAAAATGCACAGGAAGTGTGCACAGACAGTGCATGAGCGACTGCTTGACCCAGTAATGAATGGACAGTTCAGCCTTGACAATCTTCTCATTCTCTACTTGCCGAGCCTTGCGAAGTCTAGACTCGGAACGATGGAGAATCCCTTTTTCAGTGGAACCAATGTAAAAGGTCCGCGAGAATCGAAACGGGCGTCTTGAGGGTTCGAAAAAGAAGCAAACATAGACTAGAAACTTGCTCTCTGCAAAGGTGTGAAACTCAAGCTGCTGCCAATCTATGCAGCGCTGTGCAAATCTGCTTCGCCAGAGTCTGACATGTTCAGATGACTTGGCGAGTTTAAAAATCCATGCCAGAGTGAGCTTGGCCGTCAAAAACCTAAGCAGCAAACGTTCAGAAGCCTGGAGGATTGTTGTGCAACAGTTCGAAAGACAACACACAAGTTGCAGCGTTGCCGTCAGAGTTTCCGAAATGGAAAAGACATCGGCAACGCGTCTGTTCGACTGTAGCTGCTGAACTAGTCACAAAGTCAAAAGGGAGGCAGCAAGAATGATCCTGACCAACTCAGGATGTTTGGCCTTGCTCGCTAGGTTCACTGGTAGCCCTAGCTCAACGGCCCTGGCCGACAAATTGTCTGTTTCAGCCTGAGACAACTTATCAACAACCGAACTCACGTGATTACAGTTGGCTTGAAGCTTCTTCTTGTCTTCATCCTTGATGGAAAGACTGTGGATCCATGCGCTCACAGCTTTGCTGGAGACTGACGAAACAGGGTTCTGCTTGAGGGGCTGTGACGACACTTGATGGTCAGTACGTAGCAAACTCGGTACAAGAGAAGACGGAGTCTTGGAGGAAAGTCTCATTCTCTTTGCAGGAGGTACAGCCGTGGCTACTGAGGGAGGCTGGCTAGATTTAGCCTGCCGGAGTTCTTCTTGCAACTTGCTGATCTGCCGCTGAGAAGAAGCAAGCTGAGACGAAGTGTGTGGCTTGAGCTCATTGAAGAGCTTAGCAGCCAACACATCCATAAGCTCTGCTTTGCCAAAATTGGTGTCAGGGTCAGCAGTACGATTGGGGTGCTGTTCTTCGAAAATTCGGAGGGCAGCCTGAGAGAAGTCAACACCGTTTGTACGACAATGCTTCAAGAACTTCTCTACAAAAACTGCTTCATTCATGCTCCTGGCCATCACGACCGTGACAAACTCACCGCAAGCCAGCCATCGCAACGAAGCATTGGACTTACCCATGTAGCAAAGTTCAGCAACAGGAATCTCAAACGGATCACGACCGGCCAAACCATTGCGAGAACTCCAAGGTGTGTGTGCCACGGTACGGGGGGAATTTTCTCTTGTACTTCTCGTTCGCGTCGTAGAAAAACTCATTGGGGATAAAGTCCTTGGGGAGTTCACTTTTTTCACCTGTCTTCAAACCTGTGGGACTCCTTGAAGTGGACCAATCTGCACCTGGAGGGAACTTCTTCGGCGGGGTTGAGGGTTGCTTGCGGGAACGGTCATTGTCAAAGTCATCAACGGGATCCCAAGTATCACTTTGATGCCATTGGTCATCATGCTGCCAACTACTACGAGAGTTGCTGGTGTCCCAAGAGGAGGACTCCGTCCAATGGTGATCTTTCGACTCCCACTTGGAGTCCCAATGTTCCCAACGGTCGGACATGGCACGTTTCGGACACGAGCAGGCACACGAACTGCAAAGTTCGAAAGAAGCAAAACACAACAAAAGAACTGATACATTCGAGCCGGCGAATGAAGCGCACACGAAATCCCAAAGGCGACTGTGTTGTGGCTTGCTAGTTTGCAGCATATTCAACCTCACAAGAAGCGAAATACAGGCGTGAAAGCGCAGCGCAGACATCCAGGGTTTTAGGACAAAACGCACATTCAGTTCAATCATGGGCATTACCAGTGAAACAAAGCGAATTGAATATGCATGCAATCTCACTCTCTGACGTGGCAAGCTACGCAGTCCCTGCTGAAATGGCTTTGATTCTGTCAGAGAGATTCTGGATGGACTCCCTTTGCTTGCCCCAATCTCCCCAAGTCTCATAACTCGGGTCCCACACGAGGTGGAAATTGTAAATCACAGCCGAATCAGATCGAAAGGCCCAACGCTTGTCCTTTGCCGTAGGTTTCACGACATTGTATTCGTACAAAAGCCGTTGTTCACGAACGACATCAGAATTGCCAGACTTGTGATGTTCGGTGAAAACTGTTCCTGAAAAAGCAAGACCAAACGCAGCTTTGCCATAATCAGAGTTGTCCACAACAAGGCTGTCGAGGTGCTGGCAATTAAACTGGATGCTCCCTCGTGTGAAGAAACCCAAGGGAGGGCTACCAGTGTGCGCTCCGATAGTCTGCCTGGTGGAAGGAAACACTAGGCCAGAGCGGAAAATGCCTTCAAGCCCTTCAGGGGTTGTGTAATGTAAGAACATCATTGGGTATTCCCCTGCACGAAGAGCATGCATAGCTTGCTGACGCTGACCTGGAAAACCTGAAAGCTTCCACGTATACACCAACTGCCCAGAGCTGTGCAGAAAAACGTGAACGGGATGCTTGAAAGCCCTCTCAACAGGAATGCAAGCATAATGAAGGCCCTTCATCAAGGTCTCCAGCATCTGAGGTGGCATATGCAACTGTGAGTCCGATATGAAGTCGGTGCCAGAGAGTAAAACTGTCAAAATAGCACGGCGATGAACAGAATTCAGTTCTTCAACAACAGACCGCTGTTTGATGACCCACTCTTTGCGACGATCACGATCGACGATGGTTTCGATGTCTTGAGGAAGTTGCCAAAAGTCCACCAAGTCGCTTTTCAGCTGCATATCCTGAAGACTCGCGAACCATTCATGCTCCGTGGTGGCATAGGGGCGATGTGGAACATGCAAGGCGCAAGTAGCATAGCCACTGCCACCAATGCTTGTCAAACTTTGGCAAGCCTTTTTCATTACACTGCCAGTAGGTGAAGCATTTGATGAACTAGCAACTTGCACAGCACTTGGCGGTTGCACTCCAATCGGCGTCTGCATACCACTTGCTCCAAAAAGTTGACTTGCACCACCGTATTTTGGAAAAGAAGCAGGCGGACGTACACTGCCACACATACCCTGGCTGTCAGTATAAGGTCCAGTGACAGGAGGAGGCAACGGAGGCCCAGCAAGACCAGCAGAAGGAAGAGGAACAAGAAAGGGAAGAGCCAAAGAAGGAGCCAGGGGAGGAGGGGGAGAAGAAGAAGAAGAAGGAGGAGGAGGAGGAAGAGGAGGCAAGAGGGAAGGCAAAACAGACAGTGGAGGGGGAGGAAGAGGAAGAGTAGGAGGAGAAACAGCATCCTGACATCTGTGGGTAACTGCTGTTGCAGGCAATGTCATAGCTTGTCTGCAGAAAACTGGAACATTGACAGAATCATTCCTTCCTATCCACTGACCCGGAGGTGCAGAAATCATCTCAGGAAACTCATCTCGCACAGGATAGCTGTTGATACGTGCAGAACTTTTGGCAGCAGTCTGGGCGCGAACAGAATCCGTGTGAGTGCTATGGCGAGGAGAAGGCGAAGCTTCTCTTCTTGATCTGCGTCTACTTCTGTCACTTCTACGCCCTCTAGATCTGGAACGACGTCTGTGCAAAGCTCTTGACTCCGACCGTGCATGATACTGTGGCTCTTCGGTTGAATGTTCCGCAGAAATAACTCTGGCACCAGACGAGAGGAAATTGCCTGGGGGCACTGCAAGACTTGCTTTCGGCTGGGTCAAAATTGTCAACGGAAGCTCACACGAAGAAGTGATCGCTGAAAGAATATTGGCAGCGGCGCACGAATCAGCATTCCAGAAATGCATATGAATCACTGGAGGCTGCTTGGCCATGGCTGAGACTGCACGAGAGGCTTCAGTCTTCTTGACCAATTTATGGGGTTGCGTGAGCAAGTATCAACACAACTTGCCAAGCAAGTATCAACTTAATGATTCGTGGGCAAGAATCAACATCAACTTGCAAAGCAAGTGTCAACGCCATCTTGCTACGCAAGCATCAACTTGAGGTTTAGGATCAGGAATCAACACTTCTTGCAACGCAAGCATCCTTTCTTATACAGGGTCTCGAGCTCGTGTTATCAACCTCATCAACAATCAACCTTATCAACGGGCGGGTCTGGCCAAGCCAGTCCTGTGTCCTTTGACAGAATACACAGGAGAACACACTCAGAAAATCACCTTCTCCTGAAGGGATAGGGCCTCAGCAAACGCTGTATCCACGACTTCTGCACACATGTGCAGCATCAACATCTTCTGCGCTAGGTGTAGCATCAACTTCTTCTGCACTAGGTGCAGCATCAACATCGTCTGCACTAGGTGCAGCATCAACGTCTTCTGCACGAATGCAGCATCAACATCTTCTGCACTGATTGCAGCATCAACGGGTATCCATGAAATCACATGAGTATAGATCTAGATGCTTTAAAACCAAGGACGGTACACAGCTGCCTAAACATCACAAACAATTTTGTTGCAGGTACGTCTCCGAGGCGTCCCTCAAAGATATCACGACAAACTGGAAAGGTCTTCGTTGGGCAGTGCCTTCCAGAATGTCCACTGCCCCCCTGCACTGAAAAGACTCACAAAGGTACAGCGGGCCGTCTTAGTCGCATCGGTATTGGCCTGAAGGGCGCATCTCATGCATTTCACGACACTCCAGCAGATATGACGGGGTCACATCATGGTCACATCAAACACACGCCACCTTGCAGAACACTGTCCGGCAGTGATTTCCAGCGATTTACAAGGAATGTCGCAGTTTGAGGCAACCTAGGAGTACCTCTATCTTTGGGAAAAAAAACCGGCATTGCAGCTCCCGCGCACGCACGCACGCACGCGCACGCACGCACGCACCCCCTGCACTGAGAAGACTCACAAAGGTACAGCGGGCCGTCTTAGTCGCATCGGTATTGGCCTGAAGGGCGCATCTCATGCATTTCACGACACTCCAGCAGATATGACGGGGTCACATCATGGTCACATCAAACACACGCCACCTTGCAGAACACTGTCCGGCAGTGATTTCCAGCGATTTACAAGGAACTGATGCGACCCTCTGCGCTTGCTTCCCCGCTGTGGTTGAAGATATCTGATCAACAGCGATACGACTAAAATACCCCGCTGTATCCTATATTCAAAGGTGGCCACACACACACACACACACCCTAATCCAAAACCCGAAACCCCAAACCCTCAAAAAACCCGAAGCCCAAATCCAGCCGGCCGTAAGGGTGGCCAAGGCTTCTTCGCAAGACCTGGAAAGACGCTGCGAACAGGCTTTGGTATCTCAGACACATATGTTTTTTTTTTGAGGGTTGTGGGGGGGTTCATTTGGCGTTGAGAGTTTGCGGTTTGCGGTTGCATTTTTTTATAAGTGGCTTCTGGTAGATTAGGGTTGGGGGCTTTTAGGTGTTTGAGGGCTTGGAGCGTTGGGCGATTTAAGACTTCACGGCCTTTAAGTGTTGGGGTTCACCTCCCAAATAGAATAACAAGTCGCAAAGACCACTGCAAGCACTGCAAGAGCAGCCGAAACCCTTCTAGGCCCCCCCCCTTTGCCCCCCCCCCTTTGCCCCCCCCCCCCCCCCCCTTTGGCCCCCCCCGCTGTCCGCCCCGCCCCTTTTTGCCCCCTTTGCCCCCCCTTTGCCCCTTTGCCGCCCCCTTTGGCCCCCCCCCTTTGCCCCCTTGCCCCCCCCCTTTGCCCCCCGCCCCGCCCCTTTAGCCCCCCCCCTTTGCCCCCCCCCCTTTCCTTTGCCCCCGCCTTTCCCCCTCCCCTTCCCCCTTTCCCCCGCGCCTTTGCCCGCCCCTTTGCTCCCGTGCCCCCCCTCTTTGCCCCTCCCCCCCTTTTCCTTCCCCCCCTTCCTTCCCCCCCTTCTTCCCCCCCTTCCTTCCCCCCCTTCCTTCCCCCCCTCCTTCCCCTTCCCTTCCTCCTTCCCTTCCCCTTCCCTTCCCCTTCCCTGCCCCCCTTTCCCTTCTTCCCTTCCCTTCCCCTTCCCTCCCCTTCCCTTCCCCTTCCCTTTCCCCTTCCTTCCCTTCTTCCCTTCCCCCTTCCCCTTCCCTTCCCCCCCCCCCTTCCCCCCCTTCCCCCCCCCTTCCCCCCCCCCTTCCCCCTAAACCCTAAGCCCTAACCCCTTGAGACCCCCCCCCCAAAAAAAAAGGACCAAACCCTAAACCCTAAACCCTGAACCCTAATCCCAGGTCCGGTCCCCTAAACACGAGCAGCCAAGAACCCCACTAAGTGAAGCCCCAAATCTACCCTGTAGACCTTATGCATGCACCCTTAACCCTGAGCGGCCCGTGGAAAAGGTAACTCTATTCTAACATAAGAGGGTTTGCATTTGATTTCTGGTTTAAGTATATTAACACCCCAACCCCTAAACCTAAACCCTAAACCCTAAACCCTAAACCCCAAACCCTAAACCCTGCATGCCTAACCACCCTTACAACCATCCCTGTGCTCCCGGCTCAACGAGCTCGCCAAAGCCCAGGTTCTTCCCTGTCTCCCGGAGGAGGATGGCTGCCTCAAAAAAGGTTAGGGGATATAGGGTTTAGGGTTTAGGGTTTAGGGATAGGGTTTAGGGTTTAGGGTTTAGGGTTTAGGGTTTAGGGTTTAGGGTTCAGGGTTTAGGGTTTAGGGTTTAGGGTTTGGGGTTAGGGTTTAGGGTTTAGGGTGTAGGGTTTAGGGTTTCGGGTTTCGGGTTTCGCGTTTAGGTCTAGGGTTTAGTGTTTAGGGTTTGGAGGGTGGCTGCCTCCAACACTCTCCCACCCCCCTCCCGTCCCGGGATGAGGGGATATAAGGTTTAGGGCTCACCCTGAACCTTATAAACCCTATAGGCCCGATTATAGACCGTATAGACCCTATAGACCGTCTAGACCCTCTAGACCCTCTAGACCCTAAACCCTATAAGCCCTAAGCCCTAAGCCCTAAACCCTAAACCCTGAACCCTGAACCCTAAACCCTAAACCCTAGACCCTAGACCCTAAACCCTAAACCCTAAACCCTAAACCCTAAACCCTAAACCCTAAACCCTAAACCCTAAACCCAAACCCTTCACCCCAAACCCTTAGAGTTTGCGGAAGGTTTAGGGTTTGGGGCTTAGGGTTGGGGGCTGACACAGGGGTTTCTGTGAGACAGGGCTGTGTCAAGCTAAGAGTCTGGAATTTAATGTTGAGGGATGAGGGTTTAACAAAAATTGAATTCCACGACCTCAGGCTACGGAGGCTTGACGTGGACTTGAAGGGGTTGCGTGACGGGCGCTTTACAGGCTTCTGCGGCTGTCCGACTCTGAGGGGTGCCCTTTTGGGGGGATTCCTGTACCAAGGAGTAACTTGGGACACATATGAGGCGGAGGGGTAGGATGGGAAATACCTAGTAGACTTCAAGGCTCTAGACAATACGAGAACACTCGCGCCAACTGAGGGGCCAAACCCCAAACCCCACCCTAAACCCTAAACCCTAAACCCCAAACCCTAAGCCCACAGCTTGCTTTCGCGCGAAGGCACTCGAGGTCAGCTTTTGGGCTTGCCGGGATGTGGAGTATGTGCTTGCCAAGAGTACCCTTAGGGTTTAGGATTTAGGGTTTAGGGTTTAGGGTTAGAGAGACTCCTATCAGTACTACAGGACCCACCAACAAGAAAAACCAAAGTCTGAACCCCTAGTTTCGAAACAACATACCTACAACTTGTGGGCATAGCACCCCACAATTCAGTCGAAGCCTTGGCCAACCCCCCCACCCACCCCCCAACAACCTTTCCCAACAACTTAGGGTTTTCGGGTTTAGGGTACAGGGTTTAGGGTTTAGGGTTTTGGGGTTTAGGGTTTAGGGTTTGGCGGAACATGGCTGAGGGAGCGACGCGCTCGTTAACTTCTGTAGGCCTTCCTGGGTCGGAAGAATAAGATTGAGCTTTAGGCTTGCACTTTCTAATTATCGGTTCTTGGTAAGAAAATTGGGATTAGGCAGCCTACTATACAAGCCCTAAGCCCTAGGATGGCCCCTATTTCCCCC